CCCCAAAACCCCAAAACCCCAAAACCCCTTGATTAAATAAAAGAATACATTTAGTTGAAATCAAATTAGTTAGTAAAAGTTCCATATCGGATATAATCAATATGTATTTTAAAGTATTGGTTAACATACTAATCTCCTATTCAAACTTATCAATAAATTTTAGATTTTGTCCACAAAGCAAATTTTTTGAATTTGGAGAAATAAGAATTGTCACTTTCTTTGTCTTTATTCATTCTTTCTTTCATCATCAGCTCATACATTCCTTTATGTGTTATTTTATACAATTAGAGTGAGTCTCTTACATTCTAGTGATCATTCAAAATATTTGTAGTATTCCTTTTAGACACATCTTACCAAAAACTTTCAAAACTTTGGTTAAACATTCCTTTCTATAACTAATCTTCTGGATCATAAAATGAATCTATGAAATAAACAGTGGGATTGGGATTCTCAAATCCAACTGCCACCAATAATTTTTGTAGCAGCTAATAGACTTCATTTAGATCAATATTTTCTTTTGCTCTTTAATCAGTGTGATTCTAATGGAAACTCCATTTTGATACAACAAATATTGTATTTTTGAGAAAATCTTTGAAAGCACTTTTATAGAATCTCAACCTCAATTCATTAAGAGAATTCTCAGAGATTAAATTCTAAATTTCAAGAACATAAATTAAAGCATTATGAATGGGATTCTTCTTTAACAGATAGATTAGTTTGGAAGCATTTTCGAAATCTTTTTAATCCTGATTTTCATGACCCTAGCTATCGATAACTCTTATCTTTTGTCCATCATCTTCTCCAAAAAGAGTGCCATTAATGATGACTGCAGGAAGGGATTAGCTTTACTGACTTTTTCTGGTATCAAAAAGTTCGAATCCTAGGAGAAGATTGCCAAAGGTACTTTTTCCACTATTTTCAGAGCCTAGAAGAACAAATGAATACTCTTTTTAGAATTTAACTTAACTTTCTGCTTCTATCAGCTCTAAGGAAATTCTTTTTTTGATAATGTAGTCTCTAATACAGTCAGTTAAAATAGCCAATACACTAAGTATCAAGAAAAACCTTAAGGCGATTGAAAAATATATACTTAAGTCATCCATTAGCTTGTTAAAATCAATTAACGCCAATTTTTCTTTTAAACCAAAGTATTATTTTTCATCTAACTTGGAGGGCTTAGCAGTTTAATTGCGCTGAATTTAATAGTAATCAGATATCTTCTCACTTTAGGGCTAATCTATATCGAATTCCTGGTAGTCACTTAAAATATCACTTTGATCAGAAAGGCTATGATTTTTCCTAATTTTTGAGTCATTTAAATCAGCTCTTGATCTTTATTAGATTTGCATCTTAATTTTATTTATTTTAATTAATTCTAGCCAATATTTGTAATTCTATGTTCAAAGGGGTTTTGGGGTTTTGGGGTTTTGGGG